CAGTTCATGTGTTTTAAACTGACTTTGTTCTTTATTTAATGGCAGTCAGCGTTCATAATGCTGCAGAACCTCCTCCCGCTACATGTAATCGTCAATTACACACTGGAAATGTCATCAATTAACTGTCTTGGACATCAAAGGTCAGCGTCACATTGTCCTTTGAAGTTGTTTTAATAACTATGTAATAGTGGTGTTGCCTTGACCAAATTTGAACGATTGGTGTTTGTGCTGATTGTTTTGATTGGTTTGGTCAGTTGGGTGTTTGTCGTTGATTTTCCGATGATTTTTCAAAAACTTAATTTTAATATAATTGTATTTAGAAATTGTATATAGCTTGATTTGCCCTAAATACAGTTATGTCTCAGACATCATGTCCACATGGGTCCATTGTGGTTTTACTGGTACGAGCTGAGTACAAAGTGGGCACAGATTTATATTATGCACAAATCTCATTAGGTTCAAGTTGCCCTCATATTACATGTAGGCAAATTGCATGTGGCTCAAATGGAACCTGTGGGTCGTACCTACGTGGTATACGTTTAGGTCCAATTGAAAAGCTCATGTGTACAGTGGGACAGTGGACAATGTAAAGGCAATTCTGCAACTTTTATGGACTGGGAAACCCAAGTACTGGTAAATACCAGTAGTCTCTGTGTGAGATACAACAACTAGAACCTGGACAGTCCTATTCCTAGTCCATCCAAAGTAGTTGTTCCAGACAGGACATGAACCAGTGACCTTGGTCTAGTCAGCCACTGTGCACAATTCTTAGAAAATAAATCCATACTTGAGTAATCCAAGTGACTCAAATATACTTAGGGGGCACAGTAAGTATTACTACTGCATCTTTTCACATCAGTGACTCTGCCTGTCTGCACGCAAGACCCGTTATGTGACAAGGGTTATTAACAACTTTAAATGTGACACGTTCTCATATGTCTGTATTTATTTTAATGCCTCTAAGTGCATTCTGTCAATCCGGACCCAGGCACCACTGCAGGACACAGTCAGGAGTTGACCTGCTGCCGTGTCTTAACATTAGCTTCTCAGACATGTGGTTTCTGGGGTGGGTTTTTTATTCTACATTTTGACAACGCTGCCATGTCATCGGTATGTTTTGCTTCCTTTCACGCAACCAATTGTTAGAGATTGCATCACTTTGGGTGTATAGTCACAGGAAGGTTTAAGATGGGTTGAACTTCAATAAAGGACTTATCTTTGCTGGAGCTGTGATCTCGTAGAGGGCATGTCTATGACCAGTTGGACTTCTCGTTCAGTGGTACTGTCATGTATTGACGTTGTAGTTGTTGTATGTTGGTTATGTAGCAGTAAAATGGAATAGAAGTCTATAAGTCAAAGGACTAGTGTTAGGGCCTCTACAAGGATCTTCATCGTAAAAGGGTTGACTTTATGTTGCTCCTTCTGGATGTCCACTGTCATCTGTTGTCATGCTTTTTCAATGATTTCCCCTGAAATGGGATCCTGCTTTAGAAATAGTATCAGAGGGCGAAGGTGGTTCAGTCAATCTTTAGAAATAGTATCAGAGGGCGAAGGCGGTTCAGTCAATAGAGCTGTCAACCCTTATGGGACAGTTATGGGTTCGATTTCAGACCCTTTTTTTTTTTTTTTTTACATCACTTGAGTAGTCTGTTCTAGAACAGAGAATGGCTGTGTCACTAATGAACATTTACTACAACCAACGGTAAAACTGTGATCTGTTATTCATAATAACTGCAATGAAATAATATTCAATAAACAATAGTTTTATTTCCTACCGGTCTCTGATTGGTCCGTAGCCATAGCCATAAGGTTCACAGGAGTTCTTTAACAACATGGTAAAAAAAATGAAATATGTGATGTGATTAAGAGTGACATACAGCATGCGTTTTATACTCTTATACTGTAAGTGACTCCTCAGTTACAGTATTACTGCCTGGGGCATTGGATTTTAGCATTAGTCAGATCTATAGTCCAGTTTAATAATGGCACTGCTGTAGCTGCATTGTCACATGGGAGTACCTGATAGGACCGTGGTACAAACAAGGATCAGTTCAGAGCACTCGGGAAGACGGAGGCCTCGGCTCCTCTTGTAAGATAAGCCATCACAGATAAGGCTATTTTTAGGCCTATTGATTATCGCTGCCTTCCGTGACAAGGAACCTTCCAGGAATTATCAGATCAAAAATAACATAAATCAGCTGGCAAGAAGAGGCCACAGACCAGACTTCCCTGGCAGGCAGAGCTCAGATCATTTCCTGCGCTGTGTGCCAGAAGTAGCAGGACGGGATGAAGGGGATTTCTCACTTGTACATAATTTGCAGCAGAAAATGCAGAAATGAAACGTACATTTAGGTAAACAAACAAGGAGAGATAAAACCTTTGAACAATTGTTTACTGGAAATGGGCCTTGGCGTGAGATAAAAGTGTGTGAATGTGCTCACAGCAGTGCCAGATGCTGAGGATTCACTGTGGATGCAAGTAGCCACAGATGTGATCTGGACGCATTAAGGTTGGAAGTAGAAAACAGCACTTTTGGTTGATTCGCGGACGTCCCAGATAAATTTTGTAGTAGCTGTCCGAGGACTTGACCTCCTCTGCCATTCTTTGACAGACGGGAGCTGGCTGGCTACGAATCAGACTGGCGTCGCCCTGTCACGTTTATTTTCAGTCGGCTCAATGACCCAAGTGATAAAGGAGAGACGAGCTGTCCACAGTGGCGTGGAATGCATCAGAGTGTTTTTGCTCTTCCATGCTGCTATGGAGAGAAAGTGGAATATTGAGGGACAGATATTTGTGGTACTTCTTCCTCCACCCCCCACTGTCCCCGCTGCACGACCCCAACTGTAGCCAAGTTAGCATTAGTGATCAGTGTGTTGGTGGGATATTTTAAAAGCCAGTTGCATCTCTTCGGTTCCTTTTGCCGTCCAATGGGGTTGTTGTGTAAACAGGGTAAGACTTTGGGGGGTGGGGAGGGGAGAGGGAAGCAAAGCTTTCATTCTCACTTTGCTCTTCCACACAGGCACACCGTGTCAGAGGTGTCGGAAGAAATGAAAAGCCTGATCATTGAGAAGAATAAAATGGGCCTGGAGGAGGAGTCCGAGGTTCTGGTCAAAGGTGAGTCCTATTCACTGAAGAAACACAATAAAATCCACCCTTATCCACCCTACACAGTTTAGCCTTAGGTTGAATGCTAACACCCGCTGTCATCGCCTGATGATGACAGCACAGTGGCTGAAAAGATAAATGAATCAAAAGCTTTAGATTATTGTTTATCTAATATCTGAGTGGGAAATGTCCAGCAAACTCTTCATAGGTGGTCCGTTCTGTTAATGTTATTTCAAGTTGTTAATGAGTTTTTAAATGCATTTTTTATTCCAGCTGTGTTATATTGTTATATTTATTTAGGGGATAAATGGCTGAATATTACAGTGAAAGTCACTAGGTGGCAGCATTGCAGCTCATTTATTTAATCTTATACTCATACAGTGGTTAGTACAGATACATAAATTAATATAAGCAGGCCCATATTGGTTAACGTCGGAACATAAACTGAAGTGTTAGGATAATATCGGCATATTGGATATCGGCAAAGAGTCAATATTGGACATCCCTAATGAACAAGGATGCTCGGCTAATCTCCTGGCTGCTGCTGGTCGTTCATTAAGTCCGTAGCTGTCCTCTAATAGCTACTGCCGCAGCTCCATGCTGTGCTCTCGCCCTGTAGCCAACCTCGCTCTGACCACATGTGGCCCACAGCTGCTCCCACTTTCCCGCCACTCCGTGTGTTCATGTGAGGACAGCTCCTGGCAACAGCAGCACCCGTCCTCAGTGTCTGGTGCTTTTGAGGAGTGATCTCATAGGATATTTCTTTGATTTTCTCCTGTTTTTTTGGCCGTTATCCTCTCGCCCTGCTACTGAAGGGGAGCAGTAAAATCCCGGCAGCTGGATGAGTTACATGCTGTTTGGAGCTGCATGAATTTGGACTGCGTTTGCCATGTGTCTTCTGCCCAACTGGCCTTCACTGCTGTTTCCTCAGTGTCCTGTCTCTAGGAGAAGCAACCAAGTTGTTTTCCCTCCGAAACCAAGAACAGCTACTTTCATATGTTTATTGATTGCGTGTTGTCAATTTATGACTTTCGAAGAGTGCACCGTGTCTCTAGTATTTCACCTAATGGTCCAAATTTCCATTAGGTCCAATTTTTTTCTTCAATTACATTCATGTTGTCGTCTAAGTAATTTCATATTATAGCTAACATATCAGACTATGAACCTATCTAAGTGATGACCAAACCATGTAGAAACTACTGAACCGCCAACCAGATACACAGGGTTAGGTAATGTGCAGTTTGATAAATTGTCATGGAGAACATTTCAAAAGTTTATGTTAAATCCTTTAGATTTTAATGATGGGGGGAAAAATTGCCAAACAAAAAAACCGGCTCTGCTGGACAGAGGATGTAACTGCCAGGCTTTAGGAAAGGAGGAAGACTCCAGAGAAGATTAATGGATGTAGTCCAGATGTGTCCTGTAGGCCAGGAGTCTGTGAACTCTGCTTTAAGCCATTCCTTAGTCTTTTAGTTTTCGAATCAATCACATTAATTAGACAGTCTTCATGTTCCTGTTATTTTTGCTTGATATTATTATGTTTTGGGAAAATCCTTCATTTGAAGCCTTCCCACCTGCTCAACATATTTCTTTATTTTTTTTTTTTATTATTGGTTTTCACCATGAGGTTACATGCTTTAGCTACACGAATGTAGCTAAGGTATCCTAAATAGAGCATGAACATTGGGTGACAAGGCTCTTCTTGACTTATTGATAGCATGGGCACGCTCCTCGTACACCACCCAACTTCTCACGCTCCAATTAACTAGAACTCATTCACTTGGCTGTACTCTGTCAGCAGTTGTTTGTCTTAGTTTTTTTTTTTAATTTTATTTAATTTTGTATAATTTTTTTCACACTCAATGAACCACAGGAGCTTTGCTAAAAAAAAAAACGTAGAAAAAAAAAAGTTCTTAATCTTTGTCGAGAAGGGGGCGGGGCTAAGTTAGGGGTCACGGGTCACAAATGAAACAAATTAAGGGCGAACCATAGGCCCCCGGGGGAGACATTTGGCAGCCAGGGAGATGTGATCCAGATGGTAGGGATATACAGGGGGTCCTGCTGCTCCCTCCTCTACATCTTGTCCTGTCCTGTTTAAATATCCAGAATAGATTAGCATCTGTAGGACACAGAAAGAGAGAGAGAGAGAGAGAGAGAGGCAGAGAGGCGTCAGGGTGGCAGACACTCTTTTAGTCGTGTCTCTTACCAAATCATCAAGTCTGTCTCCTCTGTCCCAGATCCAGTCTGTCAGCACACTTAGCATGCCTTACCTCATGGTTTTTATTTATCCCTTTCACAGTGGGATTTGATGCTGTGCCCACATTGATGTGGCATAAAGTACCTCCCAGTGTTTTTTTATATTTGGCCTATTTTGGGTGGGTTTATGGTTAGTTCAAACCTGGCACTTATATCTTATAGAAACATTCTTAAACAGGAAACGTTCCAAGAGGCTGAGCTGTCATTCCTTTCTCTATCCGTCTCTCTCCTGTTTTATTTTTATTTTGGAATAGCTGTTAGGGGCTGGAGGGCAGGGAGAGCCTAGTACTTTACCTTGAAAGCCTCCTTGGAGGCATAGGTATAAAACATTGATTTAAATTGATTTACAAAGTGCATTTAAAGCAACAGTTATTTATCCAAAGTGCTTTAAACACATTTGACAATAAGACAGAAAAGGCTGAAACAACAAAAAGAAGAGGATGGACAGGAAGAAATAAACAAAACAAAGAGAAGCTTATTTTTTGTACCAAGGACCGATAATATCACGCCATCATTGAAGGTTCATTACATCAAAATAAAACATATTTTAGACTTTATTCTTTTAGCATCACAGTCTAAATGACCTGTTGTTTTGAAACATTGACAGATTATCTTTGAATGAAAAAAGTAAAGGGATATGACTGGATTTTTTTGGAATGAAGTAAAATAATAAAACTGAGGTACTTTTTTTCACTTTGTCCCACCGCGGCCCAGTACCAAATGACCTATAGACATGCACTGGTCCCCGGACTAAAGGGACTAAAGAAAAATTAACACAAAGCCAGAGTTAACTGAGATAAATGAGGCAGAATACGATAGTGACATAAATAAAAATAAGCCATTGAAAACTGTGAAATACCATAGTTAAAGGTAGACGTAAATACAACAGAAAAAAAATAAAATAAAAAAAGCCAAATAAATTGAGAGAATGGAAAAAGAAGGAGGAAAAGTAGAATTTACAAAAAGATAGTAAAATGTAATTACAGAAATAATCCAACATTTACACAGGCAAAAAAAAAGACCTTAAAAAGTCTCTGCCCTTTTGGGGAGTCATTAAAAATTGATTTTAGGAAAGACATCTGTGCCATATAAAACCCCACAGTGTGCCATGTTTGGCCCCCAGGCCAGAGCGTGAACACGTCAGCCTTTTGTAGTAGAACCTGCAGCTCCTCTCTCCAACTGCCATCCAGATCTCTTGAGAACTCCTACCTGGACTACACCGTGCTCCAAAACTTCCTTTGGGCCGCAAGTGCCAAAGCACTTTATTTATCCTCTACCAGATTAAATATTTATTAGGAACAATTTGCACACTTAGCTCGAGGCAGCAGCAGCAGCGGCAGCCTAGGAACACAGTACATTTTCGCTCTTTCCAGACCTTTAGGACTTTGGGAACACAGTACAGTCTTGCACATGGAGCCACGTCTGGCAGGACGAGCGGGCGATGCCTGAAGTGCTGGCTGAAGACATGACTGCTTGGCTCTCTCTTTGTTTCCAACTGTCACACTCTTCCAGCAGTTACCTCTCCTTTGCTTTCTCCCTCCTTCCTTTTCTCACTCTGTCAACCTCTAACGTTGTAATTACGCTGGGCTGCATGCAGCTTTTAAAGCCTAGGCCATTAAGCGGCTGTATTTTTATCCACTACTATTTACCCCAACAAGGCACTCACATACAGTCTGCTAGAAACTTTATGGATAATTACACGCCTGGGGATTTATTCTCAGTGAAGACATGGTGTGGCAGCGCTGGTTTTAGCAGCTCCGCGACGAGCCCACCTACCATCAAGACCTTTGAGGGGAAATTACTGTCTTGGTGTGTAGTCATTGTGCACTTGAGGCTTTGTCTGTTTGCTAAATGAAAGGAGTGGCACAGGAGTATCAGCGTGATTGACGACCGCTCCAAAATATTCTCCATGCAGGGGGAAAATACGTGCCATAAATTTCTATACTTTTGTCCTCGTTTCATGTGTTAACTGGTATGTTGACTTGACTGATGGCAAAGAGGTTATACTTTCATGGGAAAGCTTTTGTTATGAATGAAAACCAACTCTGAGTTTTTTTGGGGTTGTTTCTGGGTGTGACTATCGCAGTCACAGTTAAATAGTACTGAGTGTAGCGGGTACGTTAAAGAGCACGATGGAAATTGGCAGTTTTGTCACAAAACAGTATTTGCCGGTGTCATGGTATTTGTCATCATAGGAATCTGTGTTCTTATCTGTAGGATTGAATGCACTGCAGCTAATTTAAAAACAAGGCTGTGAAAATGAATGCGTTAATTTCGGAAGATTAATCAGAATTATAGTTTTACTGCGTGGACTGTAGGGCTCATTTGCGCCCTCTGTCTGCTTACCGTTGCTCTAATATGCGGTCAGTTCACACATTGTTATTTGCACACACTGTGGGAAAAAGTTTCTGAGGTGTACCATTGTCCAGCATGTGTTTGTGGAGTCCGCTATTCTTTCGAAAGAATCTTTAAACAAATCATTTTTTCAACTTTTCTTCTTTTCGGATAGTTATACAACTCATAATGTCTTCTTAGGGTACATTAACGTCAAGTAAATGTTAGAAAACAGGAAGTGGAAGGCCAAAAACAATCATTAAATAGTATTTTTTTTAGTAACTAAATATAGGATTCTAATGCAGGTCTGTGTTTCTGTAAGAGTACCCAAACCAATATGTCTTTGTGCATGTGTATCCCATTTTAAGGCTGGCTGTTGCGTGTGGTGCGTGGAAACTGGATTAAGCAGCGTCGGTACTGGTTCGTGCTCACCCAGGACTCACTGGACTACTACAGTGGACCGGAGAAAGGAGCTCGCAGACTGGGAACACTGGTCCTCACCAACCTCTGCTCAGTCATCTGGCCAGACAAGCAGATGTACAAAGAAACAGGTGAGCAATATATATGTATACATGTGTGTGTCTAAAAATAAATGAAACGCAGATTTGAAGCATACTGTAATTTATCGTTCCTCCGATATATGGCACACTTCTTTAAATTCTATTTTAAAAGTTTCCAAAGATGTTATTCGGGGGATTTTGTTTGACGTACTGTGGTCCCACTTCCCTTCCAGTTAGACCAGTCATTCTGACTAAGTTTGGGAAACCCCGGAGGATTCGATCCAAAACATAGTTCAAAGTAGCTCCTAAAATCTCATATTTAAAGAATCAGTTGTGGACATCCCCCCTTCAATTGAATAAAAACAGAAAGCACCAAAACGGAAAAAACTTTGAGTTTTCACTGAATGAGAGGAGACTCAGGAATGACACTCAAAAACCCTTGGACAAATGGGATTGTTAGGTTCTTCCTGACTTCCCAAATCTATCAACTGACAGACTTTTCAAGCCATGAGAATATTTAATAATTTCAATACTGGATCCTTAACCAGCTCCACTTGTCGTTTCACTAGTAACAAAACTATTGTCCCCCTTTGACCACTTCCCCATCAGCCACCTCATCTGTGGCATCACTGACCTTCAACAACAATGGCAGCAAACTTCAAAATTGGCCGTGGCAGTACCTCCATAAGTTTTAGTGTCAGTTTTTGTTTGTGTTTGAGGAAAAACCACAACAAAGAAGGATGTGGCGCTAAGTCACGTAGCAGGAAGCCTGGATAACAGCCAAGGGCTGGAAGGTGCACGCAGTGTGTGTGTAATACTTCCTCTGCATGGGCTTACTCATGTTTATTGCAGTGTGTCTACAAGGAGACAGACAAAAGGTAAAGGTTTGTCTCACCTTCACTGTGACTTGTTTGACTTGTTTTGTTTTGCTGTGGTCTGACCTTCCTCTGAACATGACCTTAAATATCCAAAGAGAAACTGATGAAGTTCCTCAGTTGAGCTGGATGAACGAGAATCTTCACAGACATGACCTTAAAAACCTTGTGAATCCATGAGAAGTCCAGAGGAAGGAGTCTCCCTAGACAAACCCTGCGCTATTTATCTCAATTACATTAAGTGGTGTGTACCTTATGAACCAGTCAACCAGGTAAATGGCCACTTTGTTTGTATGGTTCTTCTTCTTCAGGATACTGGAGCGTCACGGTGTACGGACGGAAGCACTGCAACAGGCTCTACACCAAGCACTTCAACGAGGCTGTGCACTGGGCCTGTGCCATCCAGAAAATAATTGATACCAAAGCTCCAGTGGAAACTCCAACGCAGCTCCTCATTCGAGACATCGAGGTAAGCCGTATAAAAATGAGCTGCGTTTTTACTACGTGCTACCTGGAACCATTCCTAATGAAGTGAACAGTTTGTGCTTGCAGCGGCTGCCTGGTTTTCCACTGTGGTGAAAATCTAAATTTAGGCCAAAGAACAGGCCAACAAGAGGATTTCTCTCTTCCTTTTGCCCTGTGATGGACATAAGTATCCATCACAGTATCGTAGTTTGTCATTTAATGTATTTGGAGTACGTTAGTTGGTTATGACAATTTCTTAAATACATGCCTTATAGCATACGTGTCAAACCCAAGGCCCGTTTTTTGTGGCCCGCGGGAGCCTAAAAAGAATTTAGTAAAGTCCATGCAGCAGAGTTTCTTAACCTAAGAAATTAAATGTTTTTGTAATAAATCTGTATAATATAAATAAGTCTGTTATGGAGTAGTTACATCTATACCAATGGTCACCAATCTTAAATAAGTCTGTTATGGAGTAGCCAGTACCACCCGTTTCTACAGGCCAGCACCAAGGTGCTGAACATTGAAATAATACATTTAAAATGATTTAAATTTATTATGGACAGGTACTGGTCCATGGACCAGGGGTTGGTTTGGGACCCCTGATCTATACAGTCTTCCATTTACAAACGGCCCCACAAGGGGAACCATAATGCTGATGTGGCCCTGGGTGAGAGTGACTTTGACAGCCCTGTCTTATAGACTAAGGATGGAGTGTGCAATGATTAGCACTCTTGCCTAGTAGGTAGAAGGCCACCAATGGTCTTTCTGTATGAAGGTTACATGTCCTCCCTGTGTCTGTGTGGGTTTGCTCTCTATACTTTGGTGGTTTCCTTCCACAGCCCAGAAACATACACATTGGGGTTAAGGATAATTAGATATTCTAAATGGACTGTATGTAAGAATGTGAGTGTGAATGATTCTTTGTCTCCATGTGACCTTGTGATGGACTGGCAAATTTTCCAGGATGTACCCCACCCTCTCCGCATGACTGTTTCTTGGAATTATGAATAGTTTATTGGCTAAAGGATAAAATCTGAATTTTCTTTTTTATGGCCGGGCAATCAAATTCTGATAAACGATTCCGTAGATTTTCCCCTGCATCTCTTAAAAATAAAGTCTTAAATCTTAATTTCACTGCGTACAGACACACCAACACAAACAGAAGCTCGGAAAGACAACCTACTTGTCGAAGGTTAAAATTAGAAGAGAATGCGAAATGGTCTTGTGAAGAGAAACCCTGTGGAGTTTTAAAAAGGGACGCTTCTTCCTTTACCTTCTCACGTGGAGACAGTTTGTTTATAAACGTCGACCATATTTTTAGAGCAGAAGTTGCTAGAGAACACAGCGTGCTGGAATCCATTTGAGCAGACAAATGACTCATCATGCAACAGTCGGCCCCTGGGGTAAAGACAGGGGCAGTTTTGGCAAAAGGAGTGGAGGAAGGCCTTGGTCAGATAAGCGCCTCCAGTCTACATAATCTCCCGGTGGGTGTCAGTAATGGTGAAGAAATGGCTAATGTCCGCTGCCAGTATGATGTGCTAAAAGAGGTATTATAGGTTTAAATGTGCCTTTAGGTCAGGCTACAACTGGAGTGAGCTTTTATATGACACTCAAAACATTACAAAAGTTCCAATAGGTTATGATATTACTCTTTTATTAGCTTACATCCAATAGTAACCCGTATTGGGATTTTTCTTGTTGATGTTAGCAAGTTAGCTTTTCTTTTTTTAGTAAGTTAGCTTGCAAAGGGAAACAAGTCAACAACAGATGTTGGTCTTCTCTGCTCAGGCTGTGGTTAATTATTAATTGCTGCTAACATATTTTTGTTTTTAGAAAAAGTCAACAACTTACTCCAAATTACAGTTTTATGGAGTGTTGTTACTGCTACCGCTAACTGCTGCTTCTCAGTCCGAACCTGTGGAGTTCAACTGTGGAGGAGAAAGTTGACTTTCCATTGTAGTATTTGGGTTTGTTTTTGTTTTTTTTATAAATTTGATTGTCACTAATGTTGTCTAGGTGACAAGTTTACATGGAAACTAAACCTTTTCATCAGACTTGTGACATATTTTCACATTGTAGTTCAAAGTGTTCTAGCATATTTCGTCCCATCATTTTCAGTCTTTCGCATTCCCTTCTAGTCAGTTGCGCAGTGTTCTCACCTTTGGACACTGACACTATCTAATAGGAGCGGTATTGTCCCTCTGGGGTGTGAGATTAGGACGGCTGTTGCAGAAACTAAAAAGGGAAAAGAACAGAGGAGTCTTTGTGTGAACAGAACTGCAAGTTTTTCTTTAAAGCACAGATTTGTGTCCCAGCCACACACACACACACACACAGGGGAGAGTTGGCCTTGAACCCACCGCCAGAGGCCATGTGTGAAAGTGGGAAACACAGACGAAAGCAGTGAAGAACAGATTAGCCCAGAGAAATCACTCGAAAGCTTATAGATGTAATGTGCTCAAAATCCCTTTTCCTAAAGAATAGCCATCATGGTAACTAATACTGCAGAAATTTGCTCTTGTGGCTAAAGATGTCACTCACAAAGTGTGAAACAAGTGTGAAATTCTGAGCGGTGTGTTGCAGAGAAGGAAGTTAACTTGTTAAACCGGGCTTCCTGAAATGTAGTTTTACATCACACATATAGCAAATTATGTTGTCCCTCATCTAACCACAAGTTATTTATTAAATATAATGTCCTTTTAGAGGTAGAGGAAGACTCTTCCTCAGGAGCTAAGGACGTTGCAGTGACTTAATCTGATTAACTGCCATTTTTACTCTAAGGCAAGACCAAAAACCAATTTTTTTTGTACTTGAGACTTTTAAATAATATGCACTTAATATGATAGATTTTTGAAAATATAATAGTGTAAAAAAAAATTAAAGAATAGTCAAGCTCTGTTAAGTCAAGTTAGACTTGGAGTCATTGACGCTTTTTGTTTAAGTGCAGCTCTCATTGTTGGTTCTGCAAAGTGGTCAGTTGTTAGTTACCATGACGTGCTAATTTATTTTTTGCACGGGCAGGTGCTAAATTAGCCAACTTTGGTGAAATCATCTTGCATTACCACAGAAGCATGAGATCTTAACATGCCATCTGAAAATGAAAGAAAAAACATGGTTTTTATCATACTCTGCAGTCGTGTGAAATCTTTGGCTTTGGCTGTTAACGTGAAATGGAGAGGAAACGGAGGTGGAGTCCTTCCTGTTTTCCAGGGGATCAAAGTAAAACTGCCCACCATCGCTGGTAAATATGGTTTTGGTTGATAGTGTATCTCCTAAAAAAATAATAAAAAAATAATAATTGATTTTCAATGGACTTTTAAAATGGTAAAAAGTAAGTTTGGAAAATAACTGATTGGAGAAAAGGGACAAACTTTATTTTGTAATTTTGTGTACATTGGAGCTGTTTTTGCATCACACTGCTGGATAGTTGTGATACTACAGCTATGTAGCTGGATGAGCTTAAAAAATGAAACTGAACGATTCACAGTCTTTTTTTTTTTGCAATGCTCCTCAACTGAATACATTATACTCCTGTACAGAGCCTGATCTTTCCGTTTGTGTTAAGCCATGTGAGACAGCTGCTGTCCATAGCTTCACTTCCTGTTAATCTTCTCCTGCAGCATTTGGCGAGAAAGAAAATACGCTTAGTTTGCTAAATGTCAAACGACATTAGTCTCAAGGACCAATGACAAACCATCTGGAAGGTGGTCTTACCATGTACACTTAAATGCAATCTCAGGTTCAGTGCTGTATCCTTCCAGGTGTTGCTCCCAAATATGTCATTCCCACAGTTCAAACAGACTGGTCTGTCACCAGTATCCACCAAACACTCCAGTAGAATGTGTTAACTTTGCCCCACTAACAGTGGGGGCAGTGGTGGGTGTCAGGGCAAATGGGAGCAGAGCGGTGGCAACATTACTAATGAGCAACAGGTGCTGGAGGGCAGCAGTCTGGAAGCTATCTGTACAACTGAAAGGCATCCATCCACACATGGACACTGAGAGACACAAACACACACACACACACACACACACACGCTAAACTCATTGACACCGGAGGATAAAATATAACGTGTCAGTCGCGCTGCTTCGGTTCTGCCGGGTCATCACTTGACCTTCCTGATGCTTTGAAAGCTGCCGTCTCTCTGGATCGTGACCCTGCTTCAATCGCCCCCGTTCACCCCTGATAGATGAACCGCACTAAATCACGCACCCGCTGACTGGGCTGTGGGTCAGCTCCGGGCACATGGGAGACTCAAAGCAACTTTGTTCTGTACTGTGTCCAATGATGGTCTCATCACAATTTCTCTCTTTGTGTACCTACAGGAGAACAAGTTCAACCCTGAGGTGGTGGAGCACATCTACCAGCACAACCCCATCCTGAAGTACACCCACGGGCCCCTCTATGCTCCTCTGCTTCCTTTCCCCTACGGCAGCCTGGAGCACACATGTAAGGAGTTACCATGTGTGTTCTGCATTAAGAGATCAGTTGATAAACAAAACTGTTTTGACAGCCTTAGAAGTATTCTGATTGGCCGGGTATACTACTGTTTCCGACGTTAGGTGACTGTTGGTCTCTCCCATCAGAGCAACAATAAAATAATTATATATAGTTTAACAATAAAAACAAACAGAAAAAAATGCTGAATTCTAAGAGTTCTAGCTCTAAGGTGCTAACTTATGAGGTAAGGCTGTCAACCAGTATATTACAGCACAGTCTTATAACAGCTACGAATTATGAAACTAATAAATGTAGCTATCAGCTTACATTGACATTATCAAATCGGGTAAACAGCCCAGAAGGGGTTGGATTGGAGCTGCAGTTTGAATTAGTGAGAGAAATTAGGCTCATCACAGTGTAGGTCAATCAGTAAACAAAATTTAAATTACTATCAGTTATATATTAATTATCAACTCATTAAATGCATTAAACACATTTAAATACTGTCACTTGAGGAAGTTGTCTTTGCTTTTTGGTTATTTCGGTTATTGTCATACAACATGACGGTATCATCCAGCAAATCCTCAGGTCAAAGATCAAAATCCAAAAATTCTCTGCCAATTGGAAATAGGATAAAACACTATAAAAGGTCTGAGCTTCTCTTCTGTCTGTCTCCAGACCACAGTGGGAAAGGCTACGGCTCTGTACGTGAGGAAGCTGTGAAGCTCTTCAACTGCCTGCAGCAGCTGGAGTCGGCGCAGGAGCCCATTCCCATCATCCAGGGCGTGCTGCAGACCTGCCTGGTTCTGCGGCCACTGCGCGACGAGATCTACTGCCAGCTGGTGAAGCAAACCAGCTACACGCCCGCCCCGTACACTGCCGCACACCTCCGATACTGGCAGCTACTCACCTGCATGAGCTGCACCTTCCTGCCTGGGCCCACCGTCCTCAAGTACCTGCGATTTCACCTCAAGAGGTGAGAAACCCCTGATTGGTGCTTAAAAGTACAGCTGGGAACTGCAGTTTACTAAGAATGATGAGGGAAGGACTGATTAGGATTTTTGTTTGTTTGAATAATTGTACTCAAAATACCTCAGAGTTGGAATATTTTACCCTTATTGCCTTGTATTTTGGAAACTTGGAATTCAAATACACTCATTTGTCTGACCTTCTCATATTAAGCCTGTATTTTTAGTTTGTGCAATGTAATGTCAATATACCGTTTATAAGTTGGATTTAGTCACGTCGGATACAGCCTAAACAAATCCTGTTGACTCAAGAAAGCACTCACATCCGACCTCTAATTGCGAATGGAAAATGTGGAATTTTTCTTGGTTTTTGTCCAACATGACTCGTGGCGGACACACTGAAAACAGTACAGCAAATAAATTCATGCTGGAAGACTGAAGTAGACCTAACCGTGGTTGTCAGTTTCTTACACTTTTTAAAAAGAAATTCTTTAATCAGGGTTGTGTGCTCTTTTGCCACCGTGTCATAAAGTATAGGATATTTCCTAAGCACTGTCTAACAACCAAATGATTCACTTTCAGTGATTTTTCAGCATTTTGCTAACCTTAGCTAACCTTGAACTGTTGTAGCACGTAGCAAACCTTTTAAACATATGGCGGTTAGCATTTGTTTTGGTTCACTTTAGGATTTTTGACTTGTACTATATTCTTGAATAACAACAATGTATCTTTGCTTGGCTAACATTAAGCTAATTTGACTAATCTTAGCTTTTTTTTTCTATATTGATGGCAACGTGTTGTTTGTTTATCCGATTCTTATTTCTTGTGCAAATATTTTGTCATCTTTTGGCTAAGTTAAAGCTTTTTAAAGCTATTTTGTAGCTTTTTTGTAAAATACAAATAGATAGAGAACAGTGTGACATAATATTTGAGGTTGTTTTTTTTTCTCTCCGTTTTCACTGAGGTATGTTTTGGGAAGAACTTCAGGGTGTAATTGTTTCCTTCCTATTTGTCCCGTGGTGTTTACACAGGCTGAGCTTGTGGCTCCCCGTAGTTTAAATTTTGCACTTTCCTCACTGTTTGTGTGCGAGCTTCAAAGCTCCAGGTGGAGTTTGTCGTCGGTTGTTTTTGTGTTCTGTCTTTCATACACATGGCACACACATGTGCTGAGCCACCGCTCCTGGATGCTCCGCTGAGAGGAAGTGGCAGATCACTTTGGTTCATGGGAGCGGAAACGCTCTTTTCCCAAATAATGCTGAACCCAAAGTCAAACATGTTTTCTTAGCCATTTTCTTTTTTTATGGATTTTGGGATGTTGGGCCTTTAAAGTCCCTAATTGCCGAGGTGAGAACATTTGTCATTCCATGCCTCGATGACTCTGTAGAGTTGCCGACCCAAAGAAAATAAAGAACACGGTGGATTCAAAAAGGTGACGCGTGAGTCATCTCTTTGAAACTAGTCCACGATCTTAGCACAACACTTCACAGACTTTGACTCACTGTTAACGTTATGAGCATTTCCCGTTCAAGCTTTGAATATATTTATTTTTCTGGCAGGGAAAATTACAGCTGTCATTTCTCCTTTCATGCAGGATTCAGAGCCAAAGTCCAGAGTCTGAAATGGATAACTATGCATCATTCATCAGTGAGGCTCTGGAGAAGACCAAGTGTCGGGAGTGTGTGCCATCCTGGGAGGAGATCCAAATGCTGATGAGCAGAGAGGAGATGCTGTGCACTGTACACTATCCAGGCCCTGGATCCTGCCAGCTCTACATCAGCTCACACACAACGGCCAATGAGGTTTGCAATCATTACAAAGTATTCCACTGTTGTGGCTCTGCTTTTCCCACTCTTTTTCAGTCTCGTGTGGATTCTCTCTCTTTGCACTGCGTTCTCCGGCGCCAAATAACGATAATACCAGACACCACGTTTCTAACTCTCACGTTGACCTGTCTGTTTGCTCTATATCATCAGGTGATACGACGGATACAGGAGAAGCTCGGCCTGCTAGAAAGCAAAAACACTTTTGCACTGTTTGAACACAATGCATTGTGGGAACAGCCAGTGGCAGGCAGTGCCTTGATTGCAGACGTTCTTACCAGGTTAGACTGTGTTTTTAAATACGTGTTGTCTAAAAAGTTCCATATATGTAGTAGCGTGCATCTGTGGGTACGTGGGCAAATATTTCAGAAAAAACTTAACACAATTTGTCCCAATGCTGAGCTCACAGGCCAGCACACAGGATTATAATAAAATTCTCTCCACTGAACCAGTGAGTCATTAGTCACAGATTGACTGCGTATTTACCCGGAGCGGTCACCCTCCCTTGGTGAATGTTATCCACTGTCCTGGCTGACCTTGTGTGGTATCATGTTCTAGCTTAGCCAGGTGCGCCAAGGTGACGCTGATGTAATTTGTTGTACAATGCAAAGTTCAGTACGAAAGGAGATAAAGGATCAGATGTGTTTTATTTTAACAGGCATGTGTACTCAGAGTGACAAGGTAAACAGGAAACTCAGCAAACCGCCTCAAAAACAGCATTGTATGTAAGTGAGGTTGTTAGCGGCAGAGACAGACTTCTGTAAAATATTAACATCCTCTCTGAATTTGTGTTCTTGTTGTAGCTCTTTGACCCTGATCTTGCATTTTGAGTGCAGTAGCATAGAAACATATAAAAAAGATACATTTTTAAAAGATCATGACATCTTGTGAAAAGATATTTGGTAGTCAGGTAGAAATCGCTGTAGTTAGTCAATAATATAGCAAGTATTAGCTAAAAGTTTGCTCAAAAATGGCTAAAATGAAAACTGAAATTGGCTTAAAAATAGCTAAAAATGTAACCATGATGATGAATAGAAGTCACAAAGATTTTTAGAGATGGTTTGAAATCAATATATACAGGTAAAATGATGGTACAGTTTTAGCTAAATTTCGCTAAAACAGACAGTTAGCCTTGAAATGAGGGATTCAAATTTAATTGAGCAAAAAAAAAATCATTTTTCTTCTTACTTGCTGTTTGCTATAAATATACAGTATCTAACTCCAACTATATTTATTTCTCCTTTTGTGCAGCTTCTCCACCAAAGAAACAGAATCTAAATCCCAGTGGAAACTGTGTTTCAAGCTCTACTGTCTCCTGGATGCTGACAGCATATCAGTGGACAGCATTGAGTATCTTTTCCTCTTTGAGCAGGTAATGAAGCAGAACATGACTTTGTCGAAGGTCTCAGTTACACTGGGACTCTCATTTATCATCCTGTGGCGATTAATCCTTCTCATTACACAAGATAATTATGACTTCAAGTCTGAAATAGTCAGAAATGTGTTATGCTTTGTGATTACAATAAAACAGCAGCGTGTGATTGGCTCTAGGGACAGCAGCAGCTTCGTTGGATCATTTTGCGTCATGTAGAGATTTAATGGATAGACTGAGGACTGAGGTACATATTTATAACACCAGGAACAATGTGTTTTTATCAAGGTTACTTAGGTCACCGAGTTCCCAACATTGTCATTCATCGTTCCAAGTTGCCGGTAACTGGTTGTCCGTGCTTCTTGTCCCTTAACAAAACCTTGCATAAGTTACCATTGGATTGAATAGTACCAGCATATTTGCAGCACTGAGGATAGGCTAGAAACGCAATTCACACATGGGTAGAACACGAGGTCATTCCTGGAAGTACTCGCTGCAGTGGAAGCACACTGTTACTAAGATGATTTTCATTTATCTTCTCTTCTCCTTCTGCAGTGCCATGAGATGGTGGTGCGTGGACACCTTCCAGCCTGTGAAGAAGACCTTCAGACCTTAGCTGCCCTCCGGCTCCAGATTACCATGGGTGACTTCAGCACCCACGCGCCCTGCCCGCCTCTGGACGAGCTGTTCCCGGGGGACATGCTTGAAGCCCGTGTCCTCATGTCTCTGTCCGGCCCACAAGCGTTGCCTCCCTGCCTGGTGGCGGCTCAGTGTTGCCCGACTTCGCAGCGTTTTCCCAAAGGCCTCCTCACGGGGGCGCTGTGGAGCCACACCACTACAGCAGTGAATAAGCGAAAAGTGGAGCAGGACATCTGCCTGCGGAGCCGACTGAAGGAGGAGGCGGCAGCGGTCATGGGAGCCATCTTGGAGCGTTGGAAAGGTCTGGCAGGCTACAGCCGCAGAGACAGTATGGCCGCCTATCTGGCGATCGCGAGGCAGTGGTCCGGCTTTGGTTGCACTCTTTATGAAGTGGATTTTTATATTGTGAGTATCGTGAGGTCATGCTTTTAGTTTCATTGGAGCGCGCGGAGCTAGAGCAGCACTTGGCCTCTTAGAGGAAATTAAGCATTAACTGTTTTGACATCTGCTCTGCTTCCTCCCTGCAGAGTTCGACGGGGAGTTTTTCCCAGAAGCTGTGGCTGGGTGTAGCAGCTACGTCCGTGTCTCTGTATCGACAGGGAGAAGCAGAGGCCCTGGAGTCGTTACCTTACGGCCAGATCTGCTCTTACGGCGTATCTGACGGCAACACTTTCAAGATCACGGCTGGGGATCGAGATCTGCTGTTCGAAACCTCCAAGGTAAACCACATCCAGAGTTAGCCGATACATGCTCCCGCTGAAGGGCAGCGGGATC